TGGCATTGCATTATGTCAAAGACCCTAATTTACTCTGAAACTAGCTTTTTTTTTTTTTGACTGGGTTGGGTCTTCATTGCCGTGCACGGGCTTTCTCTAGCTGTGGCAGGCAGAAGCTACTCTTCATTGCAGTGCACAGGCTTCTCACTGCGGTGGCTCCTCTTGTGAGCACAGGCTCTAGGCGTGTGGGCTTCAGTAGTTGTGGCGCATGGGCTTAGTTGCTGCGCTGCATGTGGGATCTTCCTGGACCAGGGGTCGAACCTGTGTCTCCTGAGTTGGCAGGCGGATTCTTAACCACTGCACCACCAGGGAAGTCCCCAGAAGCTAGTCTTAAATTCCTCTACTTTGATGCGATTTCAACTAATTATCCCAAAAGTTACTCTTCCCAATATGTGGAATACTACCCTCTGGACATCCCATTTCCTGGTTCTAATTAAACACCAGTGCCAGACATTATAATAGCATAATAAAAGCAGTAATTCTTAACTGCTTTTCTCAATTTTTACTCAAATTCATTCCTTAATCAAATTAGTGAAATAAAAAATACTTGGCTATTACTGTGCATCAAGAAATAAAATACCTTTTAATCAAGTTACTACACTAGGAATCTAATCTCCAGGAATGTGGACACCGATGTACCTACCAAGATAAGGCAACCAAAGTGGTGAGATGTGGAAATAAAATGCCCAGGCCCAAAGGGGTAATGGTTAACTAGTAATATATCCATATAATGGAATATTATAGACATAAAAATGGCATTCAGGTTAAGGATGCAGAGTAAACCGGTATGGCCTTTTTGAGAGCAACAGTAGTAGTAACTATCAAAATTTTAAATGCATATAGCCCTTTCACCAATTCCACTTCTGGGAATCTAGTCAACAAAACTACTTCAACAAGTTGCAAAATCAAACTATGGTCAAAGATGTGTATTGCATTATTTATAAAACTGGCATCAATTTAAATGTACAAACTGGGGGATTAAATTATGGTCATCTACTTGATAGACACTATACAGCTACCAAAGAAATGTGCTGCCACAGATGGAGGTCCTTTCAATAATGCTAATTGAAAAAGAATACAGCATTACCTGTTAAGGTCACATTTTTTAAAGGAGCCTGTACAGATTTCAGATTTCCTTTAAAAATCCTGTATAGGGACTTCCCTAGCAGTCCAGTGGTTAAGATTCTGCACTTCCACTTCAGGGGGCACGGGTTCGATCCCTGGTTGGGGAACTAAGATCCTGCATGCCGAGAGGCGCAGCCAAAAAAATAAAATCCTGTATAGTTTTTAAGTGAACGTTCTGAGAAATTTTCAGTGTGAAAATGTTCAATAATCTCAAATGAAAAAACTGGGTTTTATAAGTGCCCAACCTGTATATAACTTATCAAAATATATATTACTATCAAAGCAGAAAAAGGAAATCTGCACCACAAATCTTTTCCGTTATTGGAGTAACAGTAACATATCACTTTTTTTTTTTTTTAAAGGGCTTCAAATGCTTGGCTTATTTATTTGTTTGTTTTTGGCTGTGTTGGGTCTTCATTTCTGTGCGAGGGCTTTCTCTAGTTGTGGCAAGCGGCGGCCACTCTTCATCGTGGGGCGCGGGCCCCTCATTATTGCAGCCTCTCGTTGTGGAGCACAGACTCCAGACGCGCAAGCTCAGCAGTTGTGGCTCACGGGCCCAGTTGCTCTGCGGCATGTGGGATCTTCCCAGACCAGGGCTCGAACCCGTGTCCCCTGCATTAGCAGGCAGATTCTCAACCACTGCGCCACCAAGGAAGCCCCGTATCACTTTTTAAAAGGGGGAGGAGAGACACATCTCCGTCGGTTCTAACACAAGAGCAGTGGAATAATCAATCACTGCCAAGGAGGTAGGGGTTAATTCAGCCTACAGACCAAATGGAGTCCCCAGCCTGTTTTGTGTATAGTCCACAAACTTGGAATGTTTTTAACATTTCTAGTGGTTGGAAAAAAAATACCTGGTGACATGTGAAAATTAAAGTTTTGTTAGAGAAGAGCACAGCATGCCCATTTGTTTAAAATTGTCTATGGATCCTTTCTCACCACACTGGCAGAGTTCAGTAATAGAGACAGACTTATGGCCTGCAGAGCCCAAAATATTTACCGTTTCAGAATGAAAAAACACGGATTACAAGAATTTGGCCCTACTCTTTTGGTTACTCACAGTCCTGATGCTTCCTGCCGAAACATAAGGAAAACAGCACCAAGTTCAAATTTAGTGTAACCAACATATCGTGTCTAACCTGCTTTTGACAGTTCTGAGTAAATCGTCTTGAGTAGTCTACTGTTGAACCTAAGCCAGAATACTTTGTAAACTTGCTAGGTTATAATGAAACAAGAGTTATTGGGATTTACTAATCTAGATCATGAACTATTTCAAAAGGAGTCACATGGTGGGTGAGTATGGATCAGGAATATGTAAAATGGAAATGTGCTAGTTATTCCACATGATAGGAACCTGAGTTATCAAATCTTCCATAATTTCTAAAACTTTTTTTGTCCCATAGGTAAAAATGCTTAGCAGAGCAATGTTAAAGCTCCTTAATGAGCACCATAAAATGTACGTCTACGAGATCATGGGATTTCAGTTGCTCTGCTACGAGACAAGGAAGGTCTAAATATTCAGACAATTACCATATGCTTCTCCAACCAACCAGAAACAACTACATCAAGTCCACAGCGGCTCAGCTTGGTTAGCAAGTCTGCATTCATACGCTTTCGAAATGCTACGCCAACTGGCACATACGAAATGAGATCAGCTAAAGGGTAGCAAAGGTGAAATTGCAGGGAGAAGGGAGGACCCAGACTCTTGATGTTGAGTTCCATACTTAACAGGAAAAACTTTAATCCAACTCCCAGTTTTGCAGCCAATGGGAACTTGTCCAATTTGTAACATAAAGCTGTAGCAAAGCCAACTCTTGGAACAAATCCTCCCAATTTCCAACCTCAATGATAAAAATGGAAATTAACTCAGGGGGTGGGGGATTTGGTTAAGGAAACAAAGTATCACCAGTCTGGATGGTGGAGTACAGATTTTTATTCTTAACATTTCAAGTTATTACAGTCAACTTATTTTGCGTTTGTGATCAAGTCATTTAAAAATAAACCCCTGATATTTCTTAAACGAAGCAGCATGCTAAATAGCTAAATGAAATGTTGCCCCCAGCCCCCAAATACATTATTCCAATGAAATATTTTTTTAAAATAGACTGTTGAATTAGCTGCCCTATAATCATGGCATTTTTTTTTTTGCCACCTTTTGTAGGTAAGGCTGTATTTTTAAACCTTTGCTACTGCAACTAACAAAAAGTTGATGTGGCTAGAGTAAGTAGCCAAAAGATTCCTGAACCATCAAATAGAAAAATAAAGCCGATTCCTATCATTCCCATGATACCATTTAGTTCCATTTAGCTAAAATTGTGTTTATGTCTTAAAGGATACCAGGTTTCCCCGCCACACTCTCCTTTAATAGTGCTAAACCATAGCACCTATGGCTGCTGTGTATTGATTTATTTTTAAATGCTCTGAAACTGTATTAAAAGTGTGTTCTTGGTGTAGAACAGGGTTTAAGTTCTACATAATTTCAAATCTGAGATCTCATTAGACAGCCTCTGAGAGGACCAAGACTAACTAGTGTGGAAGCAAATCACAGCAAAGGAGACAACAAAATTTAAAAATCACATGAAAAACAAAGCTCCTATTAATACCTCAGGATTTCAGAAAAGCTTCTGAATGGGCACAGTTGACTTTCAAGAAGCACTTATCAATATATTCAGATTCTTTTCCTCTCGCAGGGCTTTGCACATGCTGTTCCCCAGCCTGGAGGTGTTGAATCCAGAAGAGCGGCCCCTCCCAAGTGCTTACTTCCCTTCTCCATCAGAGTGGAAACTGCTCTTTGTCCATGCCCCCCTCCCCCATTAGATTAGAAGGTCCACAAAGGAACGTCCCATGCCAGTCTCATACACCTAATCATCCCCAACAAGTAGTACAGTGTTGGGCACATATTAGGCACTCTTACTTGACGAATAACTGTGTCCATAAGCTTAGTAGTTACAAAATCAAAGATTTACGAGCGAGAAGAACTACATAAAGGAGCAGGTGGGCTGGGAGAGGACTCTAACCAGCTGGAGAGTCACTGAATTAAGAGAAGAATGATAAGCTCTTCTTAGGATGGCTGCTACTCAGCTCCTCCCAGAAGGTACCCTACATAAGCCAGGTCATGTCTGCTGCTGCCAGAACTTCAGATCATTCAAGTTACCAGAATTCTGGATTTTCATGTGAGTCTCCTGATTTTTTTAAACGTTGGCACTGAATTCAAAATGTTTTAACCAACCACACTGTGTGGGCCAAGGAAAACAGGCCCCAAAGCCAGATGTAGCTCTCAGTTTTCGAACTCTTATCTTGGACTCTTCCAGAGCCCCTTAAATCTTAAGAAAGCTCAACACACTGGTTCTTGTTTCATCTCACTGGTTGAGAAAGGAAGTATTACCAAAACAATGGGGACTCTTATCAAAATTACAAAGGAAAAAACCATGATGCCATGAAATTAGGAATTCATGTATTTGAAATAAAAACAGTGAATTATTTCATTTCTGTATTTCTAGAACTCAAAAACTCAGAGGCCTATTTTAGATACATTTTGTAGAGCAACAGATTTAAATCTGGAATTTTATAACTTGTAAATCACTATGTAATACTAGCTATCATCATGAGTAGTGCCATCTGCAATAAATAAAGCTGATCTCTATTTAACTGCTTGAAGTGTTCACTCATTTTGGCCCCAGAATGAGATTCAGTTTCCTTACTGGCAAGACAACTAAACAGCTCAAGAATTGTTATAAATGACAACTGCTCTTAAGTCTTTAAATTTACAATATTAGGGTTATGAACAATTTTATTCTGAGTTAAACTAGCATTTGTTTCCAAGCAATGCATTTATTTGGAAGGATATCAGTTACCAGTCATCAAAAACTTTTGTATGTTGAAAATGTAATTTTAATAGATAATTCTTCATCTTACATAGGAGCACAATAAAATACACCACATTCTGAAAAAACTCCAGAAGTTACGAGAATAAGAGGGGGGAAAATTCAGATGGGCTACAATATCCATTACCTTAAACTGCAAGAGACAAAGGTTCCAACCCACAGGTTAACATTTACATACTTATGACTGACTACATTTATGTCTTAAAAATAACAAGAATCAGGAATTAGATATGGAAGGGTGGGAAAGAACAGTTTTGTGGGGGAGGAACTCTGTCAATGCAGAAAAAAGAGTTGATTATCAAATTAAAGAATAAAAGGAGCTCCCGTAGCAAATATTAGAGGGATGACAGTAAGAATCATTAATTGAGGATATGATGCCCTCTAAGGGAGAAACCTTTCTGATGACACTTATGCAAGCTGGCTGCTTGAGATTTGCTCAGCAGGTCTGTAAGAAAGACTCATAAATGGCCTGAGCAAACCCCAAGTGATTATCAGATTGGTGTTTCCTAATAACACACACCAGTGGTCACACATGAAGTTCTGAGACAAGAACTAAGAGCAAAGTCATAATGCAAATGCCAGACACAAATGTGGCACATGTGAAAGTCCCACATAAAGCCAGTCACAAGTGTGGCTGTGCTGTGACTCTCTCTCCTCTACAGTAATTTTCAAACATTGTGGCAAGACACCAATGATCATCTAACTAATCAGACAACACAAACACATTTATTTCAAATTTCTAGGAGGTAAAAAATGTCACATACTGATGCTTTAGGCATGCTCAGGGCCAGCGTATAAATACTCCATTCAGTGATATATCTTAACACAAATTTTGCATTAGTGAAAAGAAACTGGCAAAATCCTCCTCTCGCCATTCAATTTGTCAGACGTTGAAGACCAAAAGAGAATGTTCCATCAGTTTTAATTTTTAAATACGATTGTCACATTGGGAAAAATGAAATAAACACAGTAAAATAAACTGTACAAAGGCAAAGTAGAATAACAAAAAATATTTTACTAAAACATAAGATTTACAGAAGTTTCCAGACAAGCCATACAAAATGGTCACAAGCTTTTTCTTGAAGGGAGGATTCTACACTTGACAGCAAAGTCACAATGTTATTAGTGAGGGCTGTGATGTTTGTTTAATGTTCCCATTTTGGTTCAAACAATCAAGCTTGTCCATCTACAGTGTCTAAATAAAGTTAGACTTGGCTAGAGAGCATATTCTAAAGAACTGGTTAGCTGCTTTTAACCAATGCAATCAGATCACCATAAAAAGGGGGAAAGGAGCCCATAAAATTAAAATAAAACTACCTTCCCCCCACCACCAAAAAAATAATAATAATAAAGAAAAACACCCACACCCCTGCAGCTAACCCTGACAACTACCTTCATTCACAGTGCTTTATACTCAAACCATGATGGGGAAATGAATAAAAGCAGAGAAGGGCCACTGCTTTTAAACGTTTCGCAACAATCCAGATGACACTTCTAGCCTCTGCTCATGCTTTACAACAGTGAATCAGGACAAGACATAGATTTGCTAATGTGCATTTAATCACCAAAGGACTGAAGATGTCTGGGGCTTTTATTCTGTAATGTTTCTAAGACTGTGTCCATTAAATGCAAACAAAAAAGGAAGAAGTCTTGGCAGAACAAGAGAAGTGATGCACACTTGATGATCGGATCGATTTAAATATTATTCATGGCATATAGCCTAGTCCATGCTCTAGCTGCAGACAAAAACAAACACGCAATTATTACTTTACTTACTTCAATATGTTCCTTTCCAAACTCTATAAAAAGTAAACAAACAGTATTAAGTTAATTATGGAAACAGCATGCTGTAATCCCTTAAATTCATGCCATTTTCTATAATCTGGATCAGAGCAGAAAGATTGTCTATGTGTCTAATTACCAAAACACTACAATAGAATTTTAAAGTTCTACAAAATTCAACAGGATGAAAAGAGCTGTCTTCTTTTGTCTCCTTCATTTCTAGACATATAATCCTCCTCATTAATTATGTTAAAATCTGTAGCAAGAAGCTTACTGATTTCAAACTCCCTAACTAAAAACTGACACATAGTTTAGTTTAATCAAACAGATTGCAAAAAGGAAGCTTAAAGGTCTTCCATTATCTTTAAGTACTGCTAGATGAATGGCAGGCACTCAGGTATTTGTTAAATCATGTGTAGTTATGCAAGAGTCCAAGATCTCCCAATTACAGTTCCTCTTTAAATTTGGGAGTCATGTAGCAGGCTATAAGATGGCGTTTGAACATCTTTTGTTAAGAGGTTATTTACATACTATAAGAAAGATCTGATTTTTTTCCTTTTAATGTATTTTTTCTTTTTCTTGTTAAGACTCTAAATGATGTTTTTAAGACGGTGGTACAGGGGAATTCCCTGGCGGTCTAGTGGTTAGGACTCGGTGCTCTCACTGCCCAGGAGACCTTAGGCCCAGGAACTAAGATCTGGCAAGCTGAGCACAGTGCAGCCCCCGCCCAACCCACCCCCCCCAAAAAAGGTACAGGTTGTTTTTTAAAGTGGAAGTGGAGTGAAGGAGAATGAACATTAAATACCTGTTTCTATGGCTTGGGCTTCGTTGCTCTTCCACTGCTCCGCTACATCATTTGCTAATGGATCATCTGGATTGGGAGCACTTAACAAAGCCTGGATCGATAGCAGAACTGTGCGGATCTGCAGTGCTGGGGACCACTTATCTACGAAGGCAACAGGCCCAGAATGACCAAGCATGAAAAAAACAGCCACAGAACTGCTGCATTTCCCTCCTACAGAGTTCTGTGGTCTTTATATTATATAAGGTAAGATTACAATATTCAGATTCTCAAAAGGGAATGCTTAAGAGAAAAAGGAGAAATCTTAATAGCATATAATGATAAAGATAACACTTACCTTTCAAAATATCTAAACATATTCTTCCCAACTTGTCTACATTAGGATGATAAATTTTGGTCATGAAACGTACTTTAGGGGCTGCCATTGGGTATTCTTCTGGAAGGAATAGTTCAAGTTTAAAAGTCCCTCCCTCAAAGGGGGAATCCTGAGGGCCAGCAATGACCACATGAAAATAACGGGCGTTGCTCTCATCTGGTTCTGCTTTAATGCCGGGAACTGGCTCTGCCAGCAAACGCTGGGTTTCCTACAACAGAAAAACATAACACATCTGTGAAACAAATATCATTTTGCTAAACATCAAAATAAAAGTTAGAAAATTTATCTCTTGGAATTGGACATAAAAGAACCTCTCCAATCTCCTAAATAGTTTTTATTTAGCTTAATAAAATGCAAAGTTCAAAGGAAAAAACATAAATAATCACAATCAGCTGAAAGCAACTGCAAGCAAATACTGATGATATCATATACAATTCCAGCTACAAATGTCTACAAATACGTTGAGAATAAAATTAGACTAATGAAACTGATCTTATACTCAAGGAAAAGAAAAAAAAACACTAGAATTACTACATAGGTAAAGTAACTTGCTCTGTTTAAACTTTACCAAAACCAAGCTGTTTAAAAAGTAAAATTAGTTTTTAAAGCCATTGAAAAATCTCCCCTCTGAAAAATATAATGGAACAAAATAAGTACAAGTGCCTAGGCATTTAAACAGGGCTAGAGAAATATACACAACCACGCTGATTAGTCTCTAAAATTGACAACGACTCAAATGGACCCTTCCTGCTCCCTCAGCAATCATATCATTAGTTCTCTTTTCCATCTTTCTCCCTCTCTCCTAAATAACTGTAATATCCTTCCTCCTCTCTGTTCAAACCTCCAATATCTCCATCCACATCCTCACTTTTGGCTGGTAACTCTGCTTTGTATTTCATAAGAAAATAGAAACCTCCTTAAGTTCCCACTGTAGCATTTGTATACCAACCCGCATGTGTGTGCCCATGTGCTCTGCACCTTTTCTCCTGTTACTAAGGATGTAATGGCTGTCACTGGCTAAAACCAACCTCTCCTCTAGATCTTATCTCCTTCTCACCTACTCAAGGACATTGCTCTAGCATCGCTTTCCTCTCTTGAATCATCAGTTTCCCCTCTTTATTGGATCTTTCCCCAAACTGTACAAACTTACTGTAATTTCTCGCCCAAAAAAGGAGAAAATGACCCTTGACCTGACTCTCCCCCACCAGCTACTGCCCCATTGCTTTGCTCCTCTTTGAAAGTTATCTATACTTGGATATCTCCAATTTCTCTCCTCCCCTCCTATCTTGAACACAACTCTCCAATCAGGCTCTAGCCACCAACCTGCTTGTTGAGGTCATCAGTGATTCCCACATGGTAAAATCAAATGGCTAAAGCTTAATCTTCATCTTAATTGACTTAAACACAATGTCTTACCCAGCTGGTCTGCCCTCTCCTTGGTCTGCAAGGCTTCATCCAGCTTCTTGCAGCTGGCTCTCTTCCTACTTGTACACTCTCCTGGCTCTCTTCCTACTTGTATGGCAGCAGCTCCTTGCAGTTTCTTCCCACCTCCCCAATACTCCAATATTGACGTGCGCCAGGGCTCTGTCCTAGGTCTTCTACTCTGCCTACACACTTCCAGAGTGATCTCATCCAGTCCAATGAATTTAAATACTCAATCCACTCCATATATGCTGAAGCCCCAAAAGCATATCCTGCACAGATATCTCCCTGAATCATGCCTCTCCTATCCATAACTGTCTGCTCAACAGCTGCTCTTAAATGTCTAATACGCATCCCAAATGTAGCATGACCTTTCCCCACCCTCAACCTGCTCCTCCTCAAAGCCTTCCTCGAGTCAGTTAACCAGAAATCCATCCTTCCAACTGATCCACCTTTTCCTTCATACCCCACCCATCTAACCTGATCAGCAAATTTTGTTGGCTTGAACTTTGAAATCTACCCGGAATTGGACAGAAGTCTCATCACTCCACTGCTACACTTCTGATCCAAGCCACCATCAGCTCTCACCTGGCAGACTTCAACAGCCAACTAACTTGTTCTACCTGCTTCTGACCCTCAACCCCCATCTGTATTCCACAGAACTTTTAAAAATCAAAGTCCTTATAATGCCCCCCAAAAGAAGCTTTACGTGATCCCCTCATTCCACCTATCTCTTAGCCATCTTCAGCTATGCTTCTGCCACCCTATCCCCCCATCTCATCTGCTTTGTTCCAGCCAGACTAGCTTCTATGTAGTTCTTCAACCTGCGAGGCATACTCCTCCCTCAGGTACTTTGTGCTCACTTTTCTTCCCCCAACTTTCTGTAGAGCTCACCCACCCAGTTCCCAAGATCTCCATTCAAATGTGTTTTCTCTCAGTGAAGCCTCCATAATTGAATCTGCAAACCCCACTCCACCCTATCCCACACCCTCCCCCTCTATCCTTGCTCCCCCCGCCCCACCAACTGTATCTCCAGGGCCTCTGAACATACTACATCTCACTTGTTTTGTTTGGAATGTAAGTAACACAGAAGGGGAGATTTGTGTTTATTTATTGCTATATCCTCAGCATTTGGAACAGTGCCTGGCACCATAGATGTTCAGTAAATATCTTACTGATTTATGAATCTATCTAATGTTACAAAGAACGAGGAATAAACAATCAGAAATTTCATCTTTAACATTAATGTTATTCAAAGCAGGATGAGCACATCACAAGAAGAAAAAGAATCCACTCAGGGGCTTCCCTGGCGGCGCAGTGGTTGAGAGTCCACCTCCCGATGCAGGGGACACGGGTTCATGCCCCGGTCCGGGAAGATCCCACATGCCGCGGAGCAGCTGGGCCTGTGAGCCATGGCTGCTGAGCCTGCACATCCGGAGCCTGTGCTCCGCAACGGGAGAGGCCACAACAGTGGGAGGCCCGCGTACAGCAAAAAAAAAAAAAAAAAAAAAATCCACTCAGGTGTGGGAAGAAGTAATCTAATTTATATTTATAAATTATTTAGCCAGAAAAATGTTAATATTCAATATACAAACTGACAATAATAGTACATGTAGTTTTATATATTAGTAATGTATTTTCAACACTTCGAATACGTATGTGTAGTCAAAAACATTTAGAACACTGCAGTATCTAAACATTTAGGTATGAAAATCAATGAATGAGAATATTGTATTCACACTGCCTTCATTTAAGAAAAATTATACACCTTACACTACTTCACTCTACAGCCTGCAGTGCATATACTAAAAAAAGATTTCTCTGTCAGCACGGTTATATATTGAAATAGTCACAAGATGCAGATACAAAATCAAATCCTTTCCCAAAATGTGTTAAACTCATTTAAAGTAATGCTTTTAGTACTTTAATTCAAGACTAGTTTGTTTTGTTTTGTTTTAATCATGGCAATGCAAGGGCAAATCAAAAACTGAAATGATATACACTACTTTCAGCAAAATATTCTTTAGATTCAAACAAAGTAAAACATTTTTTGGAGCATTAAAAATCTCAAGAGGCAATAAAGAAGCCTCCCATCTTGGGAAGTCCTCCAACATGTAACTAGAACAAAAGAGAAAAAGTAAAGATATCAGGATGAACAGCAGGCGTGAAGGAATGAGAAAAGAAGTGGATGGTAAAATTCCTTGAATTTTGACTCCTCAGCTCCATCCTCCTTTGGTTTTTACCCCAGGTCTTCATATTTTTAGAAAGCCATAAAGAGAGAGACTGGGGGAAAAAAAGAGAAAGCTGGGGTCCAAGAGCCCCAAAACACCGTTCCCTGGTTAAACGAAATAGTAGCTCTATTCAAAGCTATAAAAAGCTTCCAGAAGGGCCTCCAAGATCACATCCCAAAATAGCTTCAAAATCACTCTCTGTAGACATTGTCAGAGGCAGAGAGGGCATTCTCCTCATCTTCAGTTCACCCTCAAAATCAGACAGTCTTTCTAAAGAACGTACATATTAAATATATCATGTGGCCTGATCAAGTATCAGATTTAATCGGAACACATTCTAGAATAAGCTCTTGGGTATCGAAAACTTTTTGAAATAGTTTTTATATGCTCTCAAGTCCTAACGGATTTTGATATAATGAACAGATGCATAATTATTTGACTACACAGCACTGATTTCCCAAACCCACAGCATAAATTACAGGAGGAAAAAAAGAATAAAATCCAAACCAAATGGAACAATTCTCTCCCACAGAAGTTGTCGATTTTTTTCCCTAAAAAGGCAAAAACTGGGTAGGAAATAAAATCCTTCCTGCTACTACTTTCACACATGGTTATAACTGTGAAACACGTTCTAGTTTTATCCTATCCTTTGGTAGAAAGACAGTGAAGTATTCTTCAAGTCTAGAAATAATGGGTTCAAATTACTAGTGCATTGCTTAACTACAGTTTTGAGCACGTAATTTACATTGCTCTGAGCCTCAGCTTCCTCATCTATATAGTTAACATTACCTCTCATGCAGAGGTGCTATGAAGAGCAAATGAGGTAACACTGTAAAAGGACTTGGCAAATGAAGTCACATAAGAGGGCCACAGTCACATTATAACCAACTCAAAAAGAATCTAGGGTAAGAACAAAGCACAGTAACAAGTCTCAAGATTTATTAAATAACAGTGTTTGTTTTTAAAGAAAACAATAACCTGTAGTTGCATTTTGTGATCCTATTTGTTTAAAAGCAATCCTGGGACTGAATCCCAGGTAGAACTTAGGTTAGGCCATGCAGAATAGAAAGTAATGTAGACTAGTTTAGAAAACTGGTTACAAAAAGTAGAAAAGGAAGTACATAAAAGGACAACATGAATTTAAGTGGCAACAAGATTAGGTCGCAAGGAAACTATGTCATCTTACAGAATGCATATAGCAGTTCATGCTACAAATACTTTAAAGGATTTAAATAACATCAAATTGATCTGATTATCAACAGATCTATTGGGACTCAAAGAGCAAATCCCAGAATAACACCACAGTAATGACAACACTTGACATTCAATCAACTAAACTCCATTAACTAGGACTTTTCCTGTTTTTAGGTTCAGTAATAATTTGTGTGCACTATGAAACAATGTAAGGTCTTACAAATTTTAAGGCAATGAATTATGTACAGTAAAATTTTAGATAATAAACCACTCTTAGAAAAAGAGTGGTAATTTTCATGTAGGAAAAGCTGTCCCACTTATTAACTGTATATACCCCCAACACATTATATGTGCAGCAATT